TTTTTCTAGTGACGGAAGTGGTATTCGACCATCTTTGGATAAAGTGCGAGCGATTCGAGAATACCCGACACCAACAAACCAAGCCGAAGTCGAAAGTTTTATCTATATGACGATTTATTTACGGCAGTTCATACCCGGTCGAGTGGAGCATGCGCGGATTCTGAAGGAAGCAGTAATGTATCGGACACTGCCAGAAGAAGAAGGAGAGCAACAAGCTGGAAGAAGCGGAAGGAGGAAGCCAGTGAAGGTTGTCTGTGGTTTTTGCTGGGGGTTGAAGCAGGAGGCCTCATTTGAGGCAGTAAAGAAGGCAATTGTTGAAAATGTTGTATTTGGAGGAGATGATGCAAGGCAGTATCACTTGATGACGGATGCTTCTGCCTATGCGGTCGGCGGTGTCCTCCTACAACTACCAGATCTACGAGCAGGGACAAACTTGACACCAGCAACTAAGGCAAATATGAAGATTGTCATGTTTATTTCGAAGCGACTTACGCCGGCAGAGACACGATATTCAGCTACGGAACGAGAGGCTTTAGCGGTTCTAAGATGTCTGGAAGAAGTTCGTTGGTTGGTCCTGGGGTCGCCTTTTCCGACTAAGGTGTATACCGATCATATCGCTCTTCTGGGGCTACTAAAGAAAGATGATGCCCATGGGCGGATTGTTAGGTGGCAAGTGAGGCTATCAGAATATGATGTGGAGTATATTCATGTTTCAGGAAAGGAGAATGTATTGGCGGATGGAATGAGTCGGATAAGAAGGTTGAATGGTATGGATGAAGAAGGTCGGGAGAGAAAGGTTGATGGAAGTTTGGAGGAAATTGTTGGTGAGGTGTTTGTGTTGGAAGAAGAAAGGATACAAGGAGAGTGGAGAGAATGGCTGGAAGATGAATGGTACTCAGAGGTGGTCCACCTCAAGTTGTTTGGAGAGTTGGAGAGCTATCGAGATGGAAATGGAGAGGCCTTGACAAGACATCGACGGCACATGATTCGGCAAAAGTCAAAACCCTACCGCTTACTTTAGGGAACAGATTTAAAGTCCTTGACGATCGATCAACTAGCAAATCCAATGGAACTACGGAATCGCCTGACCTATGTCGAGAAAAACGGCAGAGAGTCGTTTTGTGTGCCTAAGGCCCAAGTTCAAGCAATCCTTCATCACCTACATGACTGCCATGGACACTTTGCAGCAGGAGTTCTCTACCGGACGACGATCGGACGATACTACTGGCCGACACGTGGAAAAGATATCAATACCTATTGCTTGACCTGTGAGAGCTGTCAAATGATTGGACCATTAAAGCCGTCGGTAACTGGCATGGCGATTGTCCACCTACAGCCACTGGATATGATGGGGTTCGATTTTGTCGGTCGTTTTCCAGAGACACCACGAGGCAACAAATACATCATCATCGGAGTCGACTATTTTACACGGTTTCTTTTCGCAAGAGCAGTTCCAGACAGCCAAGGAAGATCAGCGGTCCTTCTTCTCCAGGAGGTTGTGAAATTGTTTGGTTGGCCTCGATCAGTTTATACAGACAACGGTGCTCATTTTGTCGCTGGAGAGTTTGCAAAAACCTTGCGAAATGCACATGTTATCCACTTACCTGCTCCAAAGTCTCACCCTCAGTCCATTGGTCTTTCCGAACGTTATGTCAAGCTTTTGGTAGATGGGTTAAAGGTAACCATCATGGCAAAGAAGGCTGTCCAAACCGATTGGGACTTGTTGGTAGACTCTGTCACTCATGCTATCAATACTCGAATTCTTAGTGTCCATGGATTCAGTCCTGCTGAGTTGCTACTAGGATTCAAGCCAAATATGGTCGGATGGGATGTGAGACCGGACTCAGAGCGTGCAGTGGCGGTGATTTCACAGTTGGTGAATGGGGAAGAAGATTTGTGGAGCCAAGAGGACATACTCGCAGAAAGACAATTGGAGCAGCTGATCAGACTTGACGAGCGACGAGAAGAAGCAGGCGAGATGATAGTGGAGCATGCAAGTCAAAAGATGAAAAATCAGAAGGCAGTTAGATTCAAAGTGCCTGGAGATGGAGACTTGGTGCTGCTACGAAGATTCCTCTTAGATCAACGTCGAGGAAGCAAGTTGGAAGCCCGATGGGAGGGCCCTTATCTGTTATCCGATCTTGCCTGGCATGGCAAAAGTGGAAGACTCTACGATATCAATACCAAGCAACTTGTCCGCGTCAAGCAAGGTGGTCTAAAGGAATGAGTCCATCTGAACGATTTAAAGCTCTTTCTGCCCCGCCAATCGTCCTCTATCGATTCTCAAGTCAACTGGGTGGACCTACTCGAGTACCAAGAAAGAGGAGGAGCTAGTCAGAATGGAGAGGTGTACTGTCTGGATGGGACTACAGGTGGAAAAGAAAGAGAGATGGAATGGTGTCTGGAATGGATTGAGCAGGCCGAAGGAGTTGGCTGAGGTGTGTTTGTCTGAAGTGATGTTTGATGGAGCAGAGTGTTTTTCTTTATGGGCGTTGTTTAAAGGGAGATGAATGTTGTCTGTTTCTGAGCTGATTGGGTGGTTTGTTTGTCAAATTGTGTGGGAAATGTTTGTTTGGATTACGAGACTGGGGATGGGAAAGTTTGTGGTTGTCTTGTTTGATTTTCTGGAGGAACGTGTATGATGGTGATGCCTTCGGGGGCGAAGGTTGAAATGAAGGGGGAATCCTTGTGGTGCGAGGAAGGTTTTAGGGGTTTTCTGGTCATGTTTGCTGGGTTTTTGCCCATAGAATTTTTTGTTTGGGATGAGGCTTAGCAGGTGGCTGTTTTTCACCTGGAGGCATGGCCTTGCCTTCCTCAGAGAGAGCGGAGGAACAAGACAGCGAGAACCCATCCTGTACAACCAACACCACCACCTTCTTTACTGTTGTTTTCTGGGTGCTGTTTTCCCCACTCCTTTCGCTTGCTTTCTCACTGTGTTTTACTGTCAACTTTATCAGCATAAGTCTACACTCTTATCCGATCGAATATTACATTGTACGGTTACCACAATTGCACAGGTGTCAGCTCGGTCAATCACACCATCCAAAATCCGGAAGACAACCGAGACACTTCCACACCGGTACTGATTTCGATACGTTTATCGCACCGGGGAATCCTCTCTCTCCAAATGGTACTGTGAGTAAACGAGTACTCGGCTGCGATACACTACTGTCGCTTTCCCCTTAAACACGATATGAAACCTCGCATGTAGCTCGATCCATTGCTGGGAGGCGCTAGGGGAAGGAAGTTGCACCGACAGCATGAGATTTTCTGCAGAACCCATCCAGGGAGGGAAATTGCGATCCCACAAAAAAAATGACAGCATGGGTCCAATCGCCTCCAGCACAGCCCTTGAGTGATGGTTGGATGTGGTTTTTCTGGGAGCGACTGGGCATGCAGTTGCCTGGAGTGTAAGCGCTAGCACCTGGGTGCCCCCGCTCGCGGAGAACTTAAAAAAAACTTGCTCCCCAAAGAAACCCTCTGCTGTCTTCCACCACGTCTTTAAATCCGCAGTCGAAGACTATAGCGCAAAATAATCTAAAGCTTGAAGGCATACCCACCTCAAGAGTGAACGCTAGCTTTTGTTTGTCTTTCGCTGCTAAAAAAAGAGCGATCTGTCATTGCCACACTTTTGCACTTCCCCTCTTTAAGCTCATAACATTTCTAAGAGAAATGGTAGAGCCCTTCTCCGTGGCTGCCAGCGGCTTGGCTCTCATCCACCTCAGCGCGAAGGTTTTCGAACTTTGCTATGACTACTACGATACAGTGAAGGGGAGCCAACAGGATTTCAAGAAACTAGGGGACGAGATTAAAAGTATCCATCAGCAGCTCGAGGAAATCCGAAGCCTTGCCACCGGAGACGATGAAAACAGCCCACAATACCCTGCGCTCCTCGAATGGACGGAAAACGAAAGTTTGAAGGATTACAAGACCGCCTTGGAGGAGCTGAAGGGAAAGTTAGATGTCCCAGAATGGAGGAAAACCTCCAGAAAATATGTTTGGCCTTTTCGCAAACCCAAAATGCAGCGTTACCTAGGCCTAGTTGAAGAGCAGCGATCAAAGCTTCAATTATTGTTGGGTACAGCCACAACGTGGGTTATCCATTCTTCGGTTCCTTGAGAATCTAGCATCTCCGTTTCCTTTTCGTTTTGGCAGCAAGACTAACTAGTTGTTTAGGAAGACGGTAACGAGGGTGTTGCGAAAACTAGATGGTACCTGGTCACATTATCCCTAACCCTGTCAATGGTCTTTACTAATATCAGATATTCATAAAACGCTAGAGAATAAATACCAGGAAGTACAGAAATGGCTTAACGTCGTTGATCCAACCTCAAATTATTCGTCTGCACTTTCGCTTCGTGAACCCGGTACGGGAAATTGGTTGCTCCAGGGGAATGAGTACATCGATTGGAAGGGAGGTAGAGGAGGGGTTCTCTGGCTTCATGGTATACGTAAGTCTACGGACGAGTGAAATCTTATGCTGCAAAGAATGTCATTAACACTTGTGTCTTATAGCCGGATGTGGCAAAAGTGTCCTAAGGTACGAACTTGACCGGGCGTCTAGAGGTGCAATATGATTTCCTGCTTGCTAACACTCTCTTTAGTGCTACTGCTATTGAAGATGTCCAAATTCTGTGCAACTCGAACGATGATCATGCCATAGGGTATTTCTACTTCACCTTCAGCGACTCCGAGAAGCAGAAATTGTGTAATCTGCTTTTATCTCTTATCGGCCAACTTCCGAAAAGGCTTTCGGAGCGGGGTTTACCGGGCGAGGTTGTAGACCTGTACAGTAGCACCAAGGCAATTGGAAAGTCGGCAGATACCAAATCCCTGAAAGATCTATTGTCACAGATTATAAAGAGTTTTCGGAAGACGTTTATTATTCTGGATGCATTGGATGAATTCCCAGGGGATGCGCGAGAGAGTCTCCTATCTTGGATTGGCAAGCTTACGGCCGACCATAACGCGGGATCACTTTCCATTCTTGTCACCAGCCGTCCCGAGGCCGATATAGTGGAATATCTGGAACCGCTTACCACTTTTTCAATACCATTACAATCTAAAACTGTGGATCCGGATATCCGCTCTTATGTGCGGAACACTCTGGAGAGCAAGCCTAGATTTAAGATATTTACCCCAGAGATTAAGAGTGAGATAGAGGACACGCTTGCTGCTCGCTCACAGGGAATGTATGTTATACTCCACTTTTGAATCTCTAACTTACGCTGATACAAGGTTGGCTATTTAAAGGTTTCGGTGGGTGTATTGTCTTTTGCGAATTCTCCAAGAATGCATAACTCCAGAAGACGTGAGAGAATCGTTAAAGGAGCTGCCGGAAGATTTAGACTCTGTCTACTTGAGGATCCTAAATGCTATTCCTAAGAAGCAGAAGGAATATATTCGGCGAGCGATGAATTGGCTGGCATTTTCAACAGTTCCATTGACCTTAGGCCAGCTTTCGGAGGCCATTGTGATCGAATACGATGTCAATGAGTATGTGCGCGATTCGAAAACGCTTTTTGACCAGAGTTCCCTCATGAGCATTTGCCCTAGCCTTATTTCCTACGAAGACTCCCGGGACGATGAATCTTCCACGCAGGGAGAGCGCAGATTACGACTAGCACATTTCTCGGTAAAGGAATATTTGATCTCCGAACGTGCAGCTCAGGGCCCCAGTTCCTTCTATCATATTTCGGAGGAAAAGGCCAATTTACTCATGGGGCATGCTTGCCTTAGTCGAATACTGCAACACAGTGCACAAGGTACTATAAGCAGGAACCAAGCAGAAGAAACATCATTTCTCTACCACAGTGCTCGCTATTGGTTCGTGTATACCAGATCTATTGCGGATACGGCACCCATGCCACTCTCCGACCTGGCGGTGAAGGTCCTCGAGCTCGGCAAGGTGTGGCTAGATATATATAATCCTGACGACCCTTACCGGTATCGCACTTACGGCTCCGGGATTTACCCGTCGGCAGTCTACTATTCCTGCTTGTTAAATTCATTGACTGTCTGTAAATTCCTAGTCAATAGGAATGAAGGTACAGTAAACGTAAATTCCCAGGGTAGTGAGTATGGCAACGCACTACAAGCAGCTGCATATCACGGGAACGAATCGGTTGTGCAGCTTCTCCTCGATTGTGGGGCTGAGGTGAATGCGAAGGGTGGCGAATACGCCAATGCACTACAGGCAGCTGCATTTCGGGGAAACGAATTAGTTGTGCGGCTTCTCCTCGAGCGTGGGGCAGAGGTGAATGCGAAGGGTGGCGAATACGGCAATGCGCTACAAGCAGCTGCGTCTCAGGGAACCGAATCAGTTGTGCGGCTTCTCCTCGAGCGTGGGGCAGAGGTGAATGCGAAGGGTGGCTATTTCGGCAATGCACTACAAGCAGCTGCGTCTCAGGGAACCGAATCAGTTGTGCGGCTTCTCCTCGAGCGTGGGGCAGAGGTGAATGCGAAGGGTGGCCGTTTCGACAATGCACTACAAGCAGCTGCTATTTCGGGGAAACGA